CCTTATGTTTTCTTTTTACAAACAGTTCACAACTAAATATTTGTTTTCCTTATGCAGCTATGCAAACAGCGGTCTCTAGAAATATCTTCAGAGACGTCAAGGTTGGTCACAATGGTATTGTCGTTTCTCATTTACAATATGTTGATGATAACATTTTTTTCAAAGATTGGTCCAGGTCGTTTCCAATTAGCATCTGGGTTGAAAATTAACCATAATAAAAGCAAAATATTTTCGGTAAAGGCATCACAATGCGAAGTGGAGAACATGGCTAACTGGTTGGGTTGTAAAACCGGCTCATTTCCCTTCGATTATCTTCGTCTTGTGGTTGGAAAAAATATGTAGCGTCAAAGGCATTGGTCTATAGTGCTTGACAAATTCACTAAAAGGTTGTTATCGTGGAAATCAAAAATGTTGTCTTTTGGTAGTACATTTACCGTGGTGAAATCAGTCCTGCGAAGCCTTCCACTCAGTGGCGGATCTAGAAATTTAAGCGGTCAATGGCACATCTAAAGGTGTAAAAAATTCCAAAGTCGAATAACCCATCCGAACCAAAACGGTTTTTGGTTATTAGATTTTCAGGTTAAACGGTTCATTTGTTCGGTCAGTTTTTATTTACTATTTTGGTTAAATCGAATAACATATTATACTATTATTTTATTTATTTTACTTGTACATGAGTTTGTTAATCATCGAAAACTCTCGGAGATGGGCCTGTTCAGGGCACAAGGCTAAAAAGATGGAGGCCCAAAGTAAATAAGGAAAAAATCTAAGGGTAAATTTGTAAATTTTCTCTATAAATTTTAGTTTCAAATGGAACACGGTTTAATCTCCGTTTAACGGAGGGTTTTTGGTATTTGGTGTCTTAAGGTGGCAATTGTTGGGTAAATGGTGGTGGAGATTTAGGATGGAAAGTAACTCTCTTTAGGCTAATTTGATACGTAGTTTATATGGTAGAGAACAGGATTTTGGGGCGGGATGATGTCATTTCATCCAGATTTAAGGGAGGTGTTTGGTGAGATATAGTCTCTTTGGGTCGGGTTCTAGAATCTAGTGATGTGCAGTTTCCGTCGTCTTTTGGAAAAGAACTTGTGACGGGTCTTTGATTGAATTTTGGCTTGATAATTGGGTGGATAGTTGTCAGTTGTGTGACCGTTTCCCACTTCTTTTTAGACTCGACAAGACACCAAACATAATGGTTGCAAATAGGGGTCGGTAGGTTGGTAATTGGGTTTGGGTATAGGATTGGACCCGTAATCTGAGGGGTCATATTGTAAATGAACTTTTTGATATGTATAATCTAATTCGAAATACTTGACTTGTTAATCACCGCAGGGACGAGTGGTGGTGGAAGATAGATGACAATGGTGAGTTCTCGGTGAAAAACTGAAGTCTATAATCGAGTTCAAGTATCTACCTTCTACAGGGTCTCTTTGAAAACCGGTTGGAAGTATTTGGCACCGAGAAAGGTAAACGTTTTGGTGTGGTTGTACTCAACGACTAAGGATCAACTTGGTCAGTTGAGGGATTGATTTGGATTCGGTTTTATGTTCGTGTTGTAACGAGGAACAAGATACTCTAGATCAATGCCTTACAAAATGTAGAATAGCCTCGAAATAATCCATATGTCAGTGCTTGAAGATAGACGATAATATTGGTGATTCGGCAAGTAAGATTTTAAACCATCCAGGTGGATCTTTGATTCGTCTTGATTGAAATCAATTTGTCAAAGCTACACTTCGGTCTGCAACATATATGATATAGGAACACCATAATCAAGTGATTTTTCGAAGTAAAACTTCACTTGAAAAGCTTTTATTTGCAAGTATACAAACCAGATCTTACTACTGGATCTCGAGTAGAATTCAAAAAGGTCGTATTTTGCAGGATCTTTGGCTCACTACACTTTTTTTGATGTTCCCTCCAGAGTCGTGAGTCGTTTTGTTTGCTAGTAACTCAGTGGTAAGGTCGTGAGTGGTCTTGGCTTCTTTTGTTGTTTTTGTTTCTTTGTGCGCTTTAATTCGAATTAGTTTTGTTTCATGTCAACTTGTTTCGGATGGTTCTACTACTTGTAAAAGCACTTGGTCTTTTCTCTACAGGTTTATGTGGTTTTTAAAAAAAATATGAAATATTCAATTTTATCAATAATTAATAACGAAATTATTAACAACCAAAGACTTACAACATCAATCAATAAACCGAACTTCTTTAAAATTTAAGAACGATGACTAGGGATGTAATAATGCGAGTCGAGTTCGAGTATCAATATACTTGATTCGAACTTGATAGTCATTTCTCAAGTTCGAACTCAACTCTAAAACCCGTGTATGGTTAAAAACTAAACTCGAATTGAACTCGATTACAATTTTTAAACTTGAACTCGTTTGAAGCTCGAACTCAATTCAAGTCGAGTGTTGACTGATATTCGATCGAGTCGATCTCTAGTAGCTCACAAGTTTGTCTTGTATAATTTACACCCAATAAGTTCAATGATTCATTTTCACATAAATTTCAAATTTAGTATGTGAAAAATAAAAAAGATTTAAAAATAGTAGTTATTTAACCACAAAAATGGTGTTGATTGGTTTGAACTTGACTCTAAATATCAAAAGTATAAGAAGGTCTCAGGTTCAAATGCAAGTAGGAATAAAATTCTTCTTGTGACCATGGAGGTTCAAATACGGTGACTCCGAGCCATCTGCAAATCATATAGTCGTTCTGGAATTAGTTAACTCGTATAACGAATTGGATATCCAGATTAAAAAAAATAATAATTAGTTTTAAACGGGTGAAGATGAGTCCTCCCTGTTTTCCGTGACGTTACGGCCGTCTATTTTATTTACGATTTGGAAAGATTCTAATTTTAGTATAAACAGCACAACTTCCAATTAGATGCGATCCGCCGACCTCTTTCACCACCCAATCCAATAGGGATATGCTCCCATGCGACACGGTACCGATTACTTTATGTACAACCCTATAACATGTGTCAATTTGAAACGGATTTGGTTTTAGGTACCGTTTACCAAATATTTATTCGGATAAGTGTTTATCAAGTCATATTACTTTACTGGATGAATAAAGCAATAATCAAGAATCTTATCCGGTAAGAACGAAATAAAGACAAACAGTCTTATCCGGTAAATGAGAATGATGACTCTTACCATGGTTAGCGCTTACCGGGTAAATTGTTATATAAGATGCAATTTTTGTTGACTAAGATCTTACCCGATAAGTAAACGATAATATTGGATTTTACCGATAAATGCTTACTGAGGTAAGTGTTTGGTAAACGACTCCTAAGAATCTTAACTGGTAAGTGAGGACAACGGCTCTTAACACAGTTAGTGTTTACTAGGTAATTTGTTAGACATGTTACTCTTTTGGTGGACTAAAATCTTACCCAGTAAGTAAGTAATAGTGTTGAATTTTGCCGGTAAACATTTATCCGGATAAACATTAGGTAAACAACCCCTTAAAAAAATACAAGAGAAAATCCAAAAAAATCAAAAACTATTAGATATTGAGGAATTAAATCTTTAATTTTTTTATTATAATAAATGAGTCTTTAAACTATATGAAATTAAACGAATAAATTTTCAAATTAATCAAAACATAGAAAAACTCAATAAATTTTCATATTTAAACGATCAGGTTATTGAATACTTTTGTAAATAAATAAGTCCTTACGTTTTATAAATGAAAAAATAATTATCGTTTTCTTTTTTTATGTATCAACAGATCAGTAGAAAAATACAATAGACTGGTAAGACACAAAAATACATCAATTTTTGTTAACCATTGTTTATTATTCAGATTTAGAATGATAATCACAAATGTTTATTATGATCATGTTGTTTTAATTATTAGATTTCCTTATGATTTTTATTTGAGTCTGAAAAATAAATAATGAATAATGAAAATGGTATATAATCATTTTTTTATTGGATTACTGTATTCAGTTACTGACCTTGATACATCGATTGAGAAATAATATATTGTTTTTATTTTATAAGTATAAGGATTAATTTGTTCATGTCCAGAAACCTAATCGCTCAAAATATTAAAGTTTGTTGGGTTTTTTTTTAGGTTTTAGTAAATTTAAAAATTTATTTGTTCGATTTCATAAATTTCAAAGATTTATCTGTTCAAAAAAATAGTTTAAAGACTTAATCATTCAAAATATAGTATAGTTAAATAAATAATAACTACACTCTCTTTAAAAGAGTTAGGTAATAGTTTTAAAAATTCAATATCTCGATTATCGTTGGTACTAAAGTTGGTTCAGTTCACTCGGTTTTGGTTAGTTTTGAACTATCATCCAAAAAACCGAACAACTCAAATTGGACGTTGAAATTTTCAATCTCATTCAATTCAATTATAATTGACTATTGCCGACGGTTCTAATTGAATCGATCGGTTCCAATAAGATCACTTGACTTTATACACACTTCTAATACGACATTTATAAATTATTAAGTACAAATTTATATTATATTATAAAGTATTTGACAAAAATCTTAAAAATCATTCTTTATGCATGAAGTACTGTGTATTAATGCATATTACTTAAAATCTAAGATTACAAGTAAATTATACGTAAGTTATTAGTAGTTTATAATTTTGTAACGCACTATTACATTTCTTTTAATTTTTATTTCATTTAAATGAACAAATAATTTTTTTTACAAATTTATTGGAAAATAAGGTGAAACCACACCGCGTTAGCATGTAGACTCAACACACGGGATTATCTATTACGACAATCACGTGGACCCCACTACTGAATTTGCATTATAGTTGACAAATAAACAAATACAAAAAAAGCAACTTTTCTGAGTATTTGCCGACATTAATAACAAGGAACCTTAACGCGCAAAGGTGGCTGAGCAAGTGCCCCTTAACACACGTTTTCCATTTATTCAATCAACCCCCTCAACATTTTCTATTTCTTCACTCCACCCCCTATAAATAATCCCCCCCCCCCACCACAAACCTCAAAACACAAATAATTCATCACAACTTCTCTTCATAATTCAATGGCATCATCAATTCTCCCTCACTCCCCATTCCTCTCATCCCGGCCTATTCTCAAAACGCGAAACCCTAAACCCCACACCGGACTCCTAGTGTTTGCGTCAAAACGAGACGCCAATGGTCATATGGTGGACGAAAGCATGATCGTTTTAAGGAAGAGGATTCATGAGATGAAGATGATTGAACAGGATTACGAGCCGCCTTCTGATTGGATGGGCTGGGAGAAAAGCTGCTACACGAGCTACGATGCTTACATTTGTGAAGTGATGGGGGTACTGCAATCGGGGTTGATGAATACAAGGCCGAGTCTGGCTCTTGGTTTGATGGCTTTGATTATGTTAAGTGTGCCAGTGTCGACTGTCGTGGTTGCTTCTAATGCTGTGGAGGTTGCTAAGATGGTTTTGAATGGATTATTGCATTGATCAAATTTTAAAGATTTGTGCTTAAATTCTTGTAGATATATAAGATTATGTTTTAAATCTTATGTTTTTAGTTATTATAAAATGGATTATTAATGTAAATTGGGTGTTTATTAGCTAAGCTGTCAATATGAATTTTTCCCACTTATTATTAATACAAAGTAATATACTGATGTCAGCACAAATTGAGACTTAAGTAGCTGACAGTAATCAGACATGAAAAAAACATTTTTAGTCTATATGATATAACAAAATCAACCATTAGTAAAATCTACCAAAATTAAACTCTTTAATTGTATTTGTGGATTTATAAAAAGCGAATAACTGTTATGATATTTGTTAAAAATGTTTTCATTGATCAAAAACGAAAGCTAAGCGTTCAAAGACGATTTGTTATCATCCTTGTCTTAACTATAAAAGATGTGACTAGGGGCTACAACCGGTGCCCAAAGACGTTTTACCCCTAGCTCAATCAATGCATAAGTCGAGTCAGACATAGCATAGTCAAGCACAGACTGTGCCCAATATATATGTATGTAGGGTTGGGTTCACGTGAGATCAAGGGTTTTTCGTGAGACCCGAAAGACCAATTTATGTTCATTGATCAACTTTATAAGCTAATGATCTAATGGTCTAAAGTTGCACGGTGACAATTTTGTGATTATTGAGAAGTCTCGTGACAATTTTGTGATTATGAATGTTCAGATTGTAGATTTAATCCAAGGGTTGAGAATTGGTCTTACGGGTCTCACGAAAAACCCTTGGTCTGACATGATCCCAAATCTATGTATATATATGTATATATTACTTGTGTGTATGTATATAAGAGTATAGACACACAAACATGGGCTTTCTTTGCTATTTGAAATGTTAATGACTTGATCAATTTGTATTTAAAATTATATTATTAATGTTTATTTGTAAAATAATCCAAATATGAGTTATTAGATAATAATTACATGTATATTAATTCAGATTTAATTGAAACACATGTCATATACATGTATATTTTTTTCATTAAAAACATTCGAAAAGTATAAATTAATTAAAATCGAATACTGAAAGTTCACAATCAGTTGTATTTTCAATCACATGGAAAAAGTTGTTTCTGATTTGATGTTAACTGATTGTGACTTGCGTCGTCATCAAAGACAAATTGAGATAACGTTTATTTGTAAAAAAATAGTATGTTTTGTAAGTCGTTGAGTTGATTTTTATTATTTGCACATGTTTAAAATACGGAGAAACTAAAATAAATATTCAATACTTCATTTTTTTTGTAACGTGGAAAGTGTTGGAAGTCAACTTAGATTAATTAGTAGATTAAAAACCTTCGGATCTTGTTTTGGGTAATCGTGGGTTTTCAGGCCAGGTTATGTGCACTGATTAATTCCCTGAAAGATCACGAATTGTTTGGAGTTATCGCAGGTGAACCTCCACAACCTCAAGAGTTTTGGTAGCGTCTGGATCCGAACTCAAGATAGATGAGATTTTTTCCTACATCCCCTTGAGGCTTAACCAGTGCGACATGACTCAAGTGGTTAAAGCCTTCGGTTTTGATCATGTGATAAACTGAATATGTATGGAGGTGTGAGTTGAATCTCATGATAACCATATATTTTACTCTGTATTCTTACAAGATGAAGTACGTTATTTGAAAATTATACAATAATTATATATTTCTTGGAATTTAAAATAATAATAAAAAATAATTCTCGATGTTTCTTTTTCATAAATAGAGAAACATAAATTAAAATCTTCAAAAGAAATTACATTTAATTTCAATAGTTTCTTTATTTTGAAGATTTCAATATTAATTATATTATTATAAATATTCAATACATTTAATAGCTTACAAACTTTCAAATTAGATTTATATGAAATAATAATACTTCAACTTCAGACGAATGATAGTATTGAGAAAAATAGTTAAAAATTAGAAGCATAAGAAGGGATCTGAACCCTTAATCACCTTTAATCTCAAACTCACTCATGAATAACGTTTGATACAAAGATTGATCTGATACATCTCGTTGCATCTCATCTAAGGGTGAAAATCCCTTCTTATACTTCTCAACTTAATTCTCAATCTCACAGAAATAATAAGAAAAAATAAAATTTCTTTTTTATCATTTAATTTTGATTTTCATCCAAATCCTCCTATTTTCTGTATAGTATTTATGGGAAACTTTTGAAGAATCTTTAGGAGTAAAAACTTAATCTAATATTTTAGAAATTTTGTTAAAGATGTCAAGACCAAAGCTATTGTTGGTAGGGATGCCCAACATATTGATCAACCCGACCAACCCAACCCAAAAAGACCTAAAAAACTCAACCTAAGGTAGCCAGAGGCATAGTTGATACAAAATTAAGCCAATCTATATCTGTTGGGTTGAAATTAGGTTATGATTATTTGAATCCAACCCAACCCAATGAACCAGATGCACTTCTATGCTATAGATTTCATATGATTTCTAACCCCTTGACTAACATATACACATTAGAAATTAGATCAATCCATAATTAACTATATTCAAAATTATATTACAAGATCAACCATAATTTTACTTTCTTATTTGCATGAAACTTCAACTTTCTTTTTGGGTTTGTTACTCTTTTTTTATATGTTATCATTTTGATTTTACTTCGTTTAAACATAAACATTTTGCTAGATTGTAAAATAATATAACAAAGTTTCAATTCGTCAACCCAACCAATCTGCACGGTTTGGGTTGAGTTGGGTTGAGTTAAGATTTTTTAAACCGCAAACATTAAATTAAATTGTTCAAAAACCTTTAACCCAATCAACCCAACCCATTTACAACCCTAATTGTTGAGCTAGTCAGACTATTGGGCCAGAAAAAGATCTTAATGAATATTATTTATGGGCCACTGTTTTGCTTGGTTATGTTGCTCTTTGGAGTTTGGAGATGGGTTTTGGACTCTTATTGGACCTACAAAGTTGGATCTATGGTTATTTAATTAATCATTAATTCACATGCTAAATTCATATTAATTTGTCTTGAATTACTAAAATAACCATAGGGATGCCAGTTGACTATACAGTTGACCATTCAAGAAGCTTCTTTGGAGGAGTTTTATATCATATTATTTTCCGTTCATGTTATATTATGCTTGTTAAGAAAGATTTAATGCTTGTATCGATTTGTCTAATAATGCACGAATGTGAACTTATTATGGATTTGCTTAACAATGGTAGTGGCTGTTTGAAGGTCGTTATTCGTTCGTATAAAAGTTCGTCATAGAACAAGATTGGTTCTTACTTGCTAAAACTTTGTCGTGAGAACACAACAAAGTAGGGGGTGTCGTGTTAGAAGTTTATCGTAAGAGCACGACAAAAAGGATCATGTCGGTGAATCATAATAACTGTGCGTAATCTACGCACATGAAAAGCTTGTATGTGAAGTATAAAAGAGATTTCAGATAACGTGTTTTAAAATACTTGAGATAAATGCATGCATATTGATGAAAGAGATTCAATGTGTGTACTTTATAATGCTGTGTGAAAAATTAGGGCCGTTTCAATCTTTTTATAGGTCTTATTATATTTGTACCAAGACAAAGTATAAGAATTCACACCACAGGGACGGACCCATAATTTTTTTCAGACGGTGGCACCATATAATTAATATAATATAATATACATCTAAAAATAATTACAAAAAATATGGTTTTTATAGGACCTATAAACAACTCATAAACTTGAACCTGACGCGTCTTTATCTTTTGAAACCTGTCAATATATACCAAAAAAATAATTACAAAAAACATGTTTTTTATAGAATTGAGGAAAATACAGTAGCACCTTCTAGAACGATACGGTAGCACCGTTCACAAACCTAAATTTTTTACTCTTCAGCGGATAAATAATACGGTGACACGTGCCACCCATGCCACTTAGGTAGGTCCGCCCATGTCATACCATATGTTATATTAAAGTCTTACAAATTAAAATAACAAAAAATGTCTTAAAATGACGAATTAACATATAAAATTTACTTACGTAGAATCATTTTTCGAGCATTAATTGGTGCAAAATCTTCAATCAGGTCTATAAACTAATGAGTCGTTTACTTGAAAGATTAAAATATAAAAGTTTACCAACCGTGATTTACCTCAATTTTTCAAGAAACATTTTAGCTCGATTCTAAAGCCAAAACTTCCATCAACTCTCAACTTTTCTACGTGAAATCAAAGGTCTATAATGCTTTGAACAGTGACAATTAATATCACGATGAACACAGTCAACAGAATTGTAGGAGAGGCTGCTCGAGAAAGATTCGTAAACATGGTTGTATTTGGTGCTTTAATCATAAAACAAACCATCGGAAAAGCAAAGATGAACGTGACTAGCTGACTATGAGAGTTCAATATTCATATTAGAGACTAAGAAGAAGGGATTGTAAATATATAGACGTAATTGGAAATCAATGAATCGGTAAATCTGGTAGAACAGTAAAAGGATTGGGACATTGTGCTAAATTACTAGGACTTTATATTAGCCCAAATGGGCTAAAATGAGGGAGAATGCCGAAACATTTAACTAAAACATGGACCAAAAATCAAAATACTTGTAATTGGGCTCCAAAAATATTCGGAGGGTCTTCGAATTTATGAGTGTCCTGATCAAAATCTCACATCATGACGATGCTTATAAAAACCATCAAACTTTTAGAATATTTTTCGTCGAGTAAGAAGCAACTTAAGTTTGCAATCATGTCATTTATTCTGGGTTTTAGTCCTTTATGAGCATTTTGAAATATATAATATTTCTAAGTTGTTAGAAGGCTGAGCTCTACCAGTAATCTGGATACCGACAGACCAAATGCTCTTTGGTGCTTTTTATGGGCCTTATCAACGATGTAGAGAAAAGGGAGTTGTCGATGACAGTTCAGGGGTTTTGACGATGACATGCGATGATTGTGAAAAGTGAGAGAAGACATGGATGTTAACGATAGTCACTTTGGTTCAGATTTGTTGGTTTGAACCGCACAAGTATTAGATGCTTGATTTGAAATTACATTTTAATGGAACATATCTGTTAGAAATCAACGAAATCATACATAGAGTTTGCAAATAAATTGAATACTCCATTCAAAGTGCTAAAAAATGCAAACCTTTGGACCGTTTTTCATAATTATATTAGTTTAGGGACTTAAAGTGTTAAAATGTGTAAAGTGCATGGTAAAAAAGGGTAATTCACTTATAATTATAAATTATTCATCAAGATTTATTTGAAAACAAACTTAAAATGAAAACTTGTAGAAACATGGATGAACAAACCAAAGAAATCGACAACCAAAAGGAGTAAAAATCGACGAACCCTAGAACACATGCAAGCGTCAGTTTCACAAATGTATTGTCAAAATGATATATATGTCTTGATCGCTGTTCTGCTGAGGTAACATAATCTCATTATTTGCCCAATTAATTGATGATTAGTTTGGTTCTCTGTTACGTATGTGTTCGTCATTTGTAATCTATTGATTTTTGTTGGACGGTGTAAGAATCTGTAAAAATTTAGTTTCATCTTGTATTTACGATGCATCGTTCATCAATTCCATGAAAACACGACGATTTTGGATTTATCATCGTCAAATTTACAGAAACTTGTAGATTTATTTTGAATTTTGGTTTATGAGGAATGTAATTGTTAGCTTTGCTTCATGAATTGCAGAACACATTGAAGGTTTGTATTTAGGGCATGATATAAGAGAAAATGCATTGGTTATTAATTGGATTACATAGTGGCATGAAGCCGATTCCACAAGATTTGTTAAGTGCGGTGGTGCCATTGTTAAAGCTTTTGTCTCTAACAATTATAGGATTAATACTTGCTCATCAAAAAACCCAAATCATCCCCAAATCCACATTTAAGCTACTAAGCAAGCTTGTATTTGCTCTCTTTTTACCCTGCCTTATATTTAATGATTTGGGGCGATCAATTACCCTACATAACCTTGCTCTTTGGTGGTTCATCCCTGTGAATGTGTTAATCAGCACTGTTTTAGGGTTCTTGTTGGGTATCGTGGTTGTGTTGCTATGCCGCCCGCCGCCGCAGTTTGTGAGATTCACCATAGTTATGACTGCTTGTGGGAACACCGGTAATCTCCCCATTGCTATCTTGGGTTCACTTTGTCATAATAAAGATAATCCATTTGGACCACATTGCCACCAAAGAGGTGTGGCTTATGTCTCTTTGGCGCAATGGGTATCTGTCGTTCTTGTTTACACTCTCGTTTATCATATGATGGAGCCTCCAATGGAATACTATGAGATCATTGAAGAAGAAAATGTTGAAAATGGCATGGATACTCCATGTAGGCCTCTGGTTGTGGAAGCAGAATGGCTTGGTGGCATTGAGGAAACTGAAGTTTCAAGAACACCGGTTTTTGCCAATACCTTTAAAAGCTTCTTTAGTGGTTCAAAATCCTCTCCTAACCCTCCAGATGATGAAGAAATACAAGCACATGAAAATGAAACCAATACTGAATCCATAAGGTGCTTTGCTGAGCCAAAAGTGGTCCAAAAGATGAGACTTGTTGCAGAAAGGACTCCTATCAAAAATATTATTCAACCTCCAACAATAGCTTCTCTGTTAGCTATAATCATAGGTTCGATCCCTCAAGCCAAAGCTTTTGTTTTTGGACAAGATGCGCCCCTTGGTTTCATAACAGATAGTTTAGCGATCTTGGGTGGTGCCATGGTTCCTTCAGTCATGCTTATTTTGGGCGGCATGCTTGCTGAGGGACCAAACGACTCTAAACTTGGACTGAAAACAACCATTGGTGTAACCGTGGCTAGATTATTAGTGCTTCCATTATTAGGAATCGGAGTTGTGGCTTTGGCTGGTAAGATGCATCTTCGTGTTGCCACTGATGCTATCTATGGATACGTGCTCTTGTTGCAGTATGCGACCCCAAGTGCCATTCTTCTGGGAGCGGTGGCCAGAATGAGAGGTTATGCTGTTACCGAATCCTCAGCACTTCTGTTTTGGCAACATTTATTCGCACTCTTTTCACTTTCTTTTTACATATTCATCTACTCTAAACTGCTTCCACTTGTTTGAGGAAGTAGTTATACACATGCATACATGTATATATACAAATGTATGCAAGTTATATTGGGCTTCCTAATAAGCTAATTGGATTTCTGATGAACGATGGAAAAGAAGAACCTCTTGATGAATGCAACAATGGAGGCGTATAGGACCGATTGCAGGACCAGAAACTAAATCTCAGGTACCGTTTCTTACTACTTCAGCAACAATGTTGTTAACAATTTTTTCGGGGTTTTCTGGAATGAGATTAAATTTTCTGGGATTTTGTTTATTTGTTTGGTACTGTTATATAACTTTGACAAGATCACATCTTGATGACCTATGTTGTCGCAAAATCTTTACTTCCATGATGATTTTAACTAAGCTTCATTATATGATGCATTGGTGAAAGATGATCGCTTGCATAATGATGTCGATTTGCATGGCCATACAGTTTCCAGGACATTTATGGTAGATAAACCATAACATCCGAGAAATGGAAACAAAACAATTGCATTTTCAAGAACGAATAGTTTTGGAAAAATCAACTGCATAACCACAAAATATTTCGGTATGTCAAGATTATGATGAACGAGTCGCTCTTTTCTAGATTTGCACAAAGGTAGTTTTTGAAGAAGTGAAAGCCTTAAAGGGTGTGCAGATATGCATTTCTTCCTGCAGATGGCTGCTTAGATTTAGTTTGATCAATTTGAATTAGTTTGGCAAGTCAAATTGCATGGTTCAATTGGAATACTATTGACCCATAGTCATAGATATATCTTTCTGTCATTGGTCATACTTTGAAAACATGGTCAAAGTCAAACCCATATGAAATTTCCAACTTCTTATTCAACACAATTTCCTCATTTTTGCTGTATTTTTCATCTTCAATTGTCTTCAAAGTTGAGGATTGACACAAAGATTAGAACTTGTTGCTGAATTCAAAATATGAAAAAGCAAATTATATTTTGTATAACTATTTTTTTATTAACCTGATATCCAACCCGCTATGCGAGCCAACTAATCACAGGACGACCACCTGCTTTGCAGATAGCCTGGAGTCACCACATTTGAACCTCCGTGATACAAGGGGATTTTTATTTCTCCTTGGATTTGAACCTGAGACTTACTGGTACTTTTGATCTTTGGAGCCAAGCTCAAACCAATCAAACAACACCTTATGGTTTAGTTTGTATAACTATTCAACATGCGTGCATATGAATAACTAAAAAGAATGGGGTTTTATAAATTTATTGGAAGGAATATTTTTCTATCTTTTATGCATTTCTATGGTCCATAAATCTATACTTCTTTTGATATTATACTTGGGTTGTTCGGTTGGTTTTCTATTAAGTTTATGTATGAATTAAGTTGTGTATGGTTTTCTATACTTAGGTTATTCAGTTGATTTTCTATTAAGTTTATGTATAAATTTTTGTTGGACTATTTAACTGAATAAACAGTCTGAATGTTAAAATTGACTATTTTAACCTCATTTGTATGTTAAGCACATATTGAAATAATAGTTTCATAAAATGAAGTTAAAATGAGAGTTTTACGGGAGGGAACACGCAACAAATGTACATACCGACTTCACCAATCTATAGATACAACAAGATGGACGTACTCTCCCATACCCGAAAAGAAATTAAAAATAAAAAACAAATTAGTTCGGGATAAAAGAACTCGACGCTGAGAAATAAATAAATTACCCTTTTAACGTAATTTGTAGGAAAATAATAAATTAGAGTTTTCAAATAGTAATTTATGATTTTTATTCAAGTCTAAAAAACTAAATAATGGATGATGACAAAAGTATATAATTATTATTTTTATTAGTGATCAACTAATACACCGATAAAGAAGTGATATATTTTTTTCGTTTCATAAATGTAAGGACCTGGTTCAAAAACTTGACCGGAAACTTAATTATTTAAAATATAAAATATTATTGTGTAGTCAGTTGGAATTAGTCGGCTCGCATAACGAATTGGATATCCAGATTAATTAAAAATATATTATTGTTTTTTCTACGGTTAAAAAAGTTTAGGGAAATTGACAAAAAAAAACCAATCTAACCAACTTTTGTAATAAAAAAAAAAGAAAAATAATAATATTTACAATTTTATACTATTGTAATCAGTATTTGATTACTTTATATTCTTATTATTTTTATTTTTTATTTTACATTTTACATCATTATCACATTATCATACATAAACTGTATATTAATTAAAATACATCAAATATATGTTCAATTTTTTTGAATTACATCATCTTGATCGTTTCATCAATATCTTCAAAACGAGACCAATATCGAATATTTTTGAATTGAATCATATTATTAAATAGGGCAAAATGCACAAAATAGCAATCTACTTTCATAAATTTTTTATTATAGCATTGTACTTTCAGTTTTTCTTATTACAGTAATGTACTTTCAAACTATTTTTTATTAGGACATTGTACTTTGAAAAATTTACTCATTATAGCATTGGGTAACCTTTTGATTTAAATTTACCCATTATACTAGGTTTCCATGTCACCTCATTGTCCATGTAGGTTGTCCACATGTACTATAATGATGTGACTTACTTACTACATCATTGTACTTTCAAAATTATTTTATTATAGCATCTACTAGTTTTTATTAAACACTGTATTTTTAATTTTAATATTTAGATATTTTACATGTTATTTAATAAATGTATTAAATGAATTTAAATTTTTTTATATTATTCGTTAATATACCAATATCAATAAAACTAGTAGAACACAACTTATCTCGCTAATATTTTTAAAAAAATAAGTGTTTTTTGAAAAAAAATAAAAAAAGAATTGTTTATATTTTACCAAAAAAATATTATCTTTTAAAAAATATATTATATTTGTTCAAAAACTTTTTACTTGACGTATAAATATATTAAATTAATTATATTTTTTTGAAAATTTATTAATATAACAATATTAAAAAATTGTAGATAACAATTTATTTCATTAATATTTTAAAGATAACTTTAAAAGATATGTATWTATTTGAACAACATAAAATAAGAAAAGTTACATTTTTTATAAACAAAATATATCTCGAAAATAATGTTTCATATTTATTTAATAAATATTTTACTCTAAGAATATTTAATTTGAATGCAACTTAATAAGAAAAAGTAAAAAATTGAATATTTTTTTAGATCATAGCAATAAAAAATGAAAATCACTAATAATAATTTGAAATAAAGTTTTATTTTAATTTTAGTTAAGTCATCAAAATAATGTGTCATCCACATCACCTTTTTAAAACCACACAAGCAATAAAGTCAAAGAGTTAACCGGTTTAAAAGGTAACAGGTTACCCATTGTTATTATGGGTAGATTTTTTAAAGTACAATGCCTTAATAAAAAATAATTTGAAAGTACATTGCTGTAATAAAGAAAAACAAAAGTAGAATGCTATAATAAGAAATTTTATGAAAGTAGATTGTTATTTAATACATTTAACCCTATTAAATGTCATAAATACGTAAATATTATTTTTGATACATTTAGGCTCATTTGAAATATATTAACGAGACAATTATAATAATATAATTTATAAAATAAGAAACATATTTTTTAATACATTTTAATATACAGTTTATGTATGATAAATATAACAAAGTTATAAATAAATATGAGAAAATAAGAATACAAAATATAATTAAAAATAAATCTCAATTTTTTTTTAAATTAGAAGAGTTGGTTTGACATATTTTAGGAATATGTCCTTAAAAATGGCTGTAAAATAAATTGTTTGAATATTTTCGAAAATTTTAATAATTTTATTTGTTAAAAAATAAATCCAAAATATTAAAATATATTCTTTTAATTTTTCTTCGGAGTCCTCCAAACGAAACGCCACATAACTGGGTTCGCATGTCTTTATTGAAGTAATATTTATATATTATATATTCATTTATTTCAATGTAATAAATCGGAGGGAAATTAATTAAAATAATAATTTTTTATATAAACGAGTTTTCTAATATTTTTATTCATGATTTATTTAAATATCATTACATCTGTTATTTACAGACGTAACTAAAAGACAAAAAAATAATCAAATTTGATCCAGTTCTGCAATAACAATGACAAGGTCTATAATTTCGATGGTCAGGTCTACAATTTTAATTTCTTTCAAATCTTTTAATTATGTCCGTTTAGTTGTAGACGTAAAAGTGACGGACATTGTTATATTTAAGTAAATCTAGAAGAGGAATGGCTAAACGAGGAACAGTTATTTTAGGGGTTGTTTGGTAGTTGCTGAATGGTTTGGTACAGAATGATTAAGTGGTCAGAATGATTAACAGACTCTCATGATATATTGCAAAATAAAATATAATTGTTTGATAACTGTTTACAATAAAATTAGGGCTCTGAACGGTTAAGAGAGACCCAAGATGCAAAATCATTAAAAGAATTTTAGAATCATTAAGATACGGACTTTTTTTTACAAAATAAAATTCACCTCTTAACGATTCAAATACTGACTCTTAATAGAACTATTAAAAGGTAAACAAACAAACCATTAGTCAATTTCCAAGAATTCGAATATTCTCGACAAAATCAATCCGGCCCGATTGACCCGACTCTAAGCTGACCTTCACTGAACCTTCCCATGCTTCCACCTATAAATCCCCCAATACGTTTCCCCCAAAACCTGCCCGCCCCACACGTTTCTCTCCCCAAATCTCATCTTTCCAAATATTTAGATCTTCAAAGATCCTCAAAACCCTAATTCTTATCCTACCTTCAATCCTTTGGTGTCCATTGCTCCAACACATTATCCCCAAATTCCCATTAATTCTGGTTAAAAATGGCTCTAGCTTATCTTGGATCCAAGAAAGTCGACGCCGCCGCGCTCATGGCTTCCACTTCGCCTTCACCACCGCAACGCATCTTAACCCAAGACGAGCTCAAGAAAATCGCAGCCTATAAGGCCGTCGAGTTTGTCGAATCCGGCATGGTTCTCGGCCTTGGAACAGGGTCCACCGCCAAACACGCCATAGACCGTATCGGAGAACTTCTCCGGCAAGGAAAGCTTGCTAACATCATCGGAATACCCACTTCCACGCAAACCCATGAGCAGGCTTTGTCTCTAGGAATACCTCTGTCGGATCTTGATACCAACCCAGTTCTCGATTTGGCCATCGACGGAGCAGATGAGGTCGACCCAGATATGAATTTGGTCAAAGGCCGTGGCGGATCGTTGCTTCGTGAAAAAATGATCGAGGGTTGTTGCAAGAAATTCGTGGTGATTGTTGACGAATCGAAGCTGGTGGATTACGTCGGAGGAAGTGGGTTAGCCATGCCGGTGGAAATCGTGCCTTTTTGCTGGAAATTCACAGCACAGAAGCTTCAATCGTTGTTTGAAGAAGCCGGTTGTGTTGCAAAGCTCCGCATTTCGCCGGAAAATGGTAAGGCGTATGTTACCGATAACGGGAATTTCATAATCGATCTATATTTCAAGAAAGATATCGGGGATTTGAAGGCTGCCGGAGATGCAATATTGAGACTCGCCGGCGTCGTGGAGCATGGGATGTTTATTGACATGGCCACTACTTTGATTGTGGCCGGAGAGATGGGAGTTAGGGTTAGGAACAAGTGTTAGCTAACATGAAAATGGGGTTCCATGTTTTCCCCTAACCCCCTTTTGGCATTTTTTCAATTTTTATGCCTTTAATTTGACAAAATTATCAAAAGAAATGATGCAAATTAGCATTTCTATTTCATTGTTGTTTTGTTAAGATTGTTTATGTCCAAAGTTAGACAAACACTTTAGAGGTGGCGTTTGGTTTGCAGATTCTAGAGGAATCTGATCAATTGGAATGTTAAATTCCATTACTGATAAGGATTGAATGTATAATGAAATGGATAACGTATAAATGGTAAAAAAAATCATTTTGAACTGTGATAATATTGTTAAACATCAGCGTATAAGTAAAACATAATTTCATAAATGTAATATTTATTTTATATCAATCAACATTTCCCACATCTAAATTGGTAAACTAATCATTTCTCTTTTGAGTTTATCTAAATATCGTTGCTTCTGCAATATTTATGCAACTAACTAAAAGGCAAAAAAAAAAAATCAAATTCAACACATAATTGCAATTGCGACGGTTAGGTTCGCAACAGCGACGGTAAACTGGTTGAATTAAAAACTTTTTTGTCTTTTAGCTAATATTGGGACCTAGATATTGTGGAATTAGTTGTGATGAACATTGAGTGTCAAGTGGTGAATTTTTGAAGTTTTTTAGAAAATTTATTTTCAAAAAAGTATATATCTGTAAACGTTAACGTTATTACATTTGAGGAGTTGTTTGTTTACCTCTTAATATTTTTACTAAGAGACAACCTTTGAATTGTTAAGAGGTGAATCTTGTTTGACAAAAAAAATGTCTCTTAATGATTGTAAAACTCTCTAAATGATTTTGTATCTTGGTACTCTCTTAACCATTCAGCGCCCTAATTTTGTTGTAAGTAATTACCAAACAATTATATTTCATTTTGCACTATATCATGAAAGTCTCTTAATCATTCTGACAACTTAATCATTCTACACTAAAACCATTCAGCAACTGTCAAATAGTCCCTGAGTCATCTTCTAATATCTAATTAATATGTTTTTAATAGCTCGACTCCTAGTTTTGATAGTTTCATGTTACGAGGTACACTAATAAGCCAAACATCTCTATCCTTTGATGTCGTTATGAATATGGGACATGGCTAGTAAGGCATCGCTCTATAATTTAGGCATCAGTCTTAATTGCTTCAGCATTTAGTTGACGATTTTAAAATTGTACGCTATTTCCTTTCAACCAAACAGTTATACCGAAGTGAACAAGACGTTGCATGTTCATGTTTAATTCCATTCTCTTTGCACAAAACATATGTTCTCCTCGATATCGATCAAGATCCATGGTGACTAAACACAAGAGATTGGAGTAGAAGAAGATGAACAAGGCAAATAATTAAACTGCAAGGCTCCCACTTACCAAAACAGTTTTTTTTTAATTAATCTGGATATCCAACCCGCTATACGAGCCGACTAATTCCAGGGCGACCACCTGTTTTGCAGATAGCCCGGAGTCACCGCATTTGAACCTCCATGGCCATAAGAGGATTTTTATTTATTTTTGGATTTGAACCTGGGACCTCCTGGTACTTTTGATCTTTGGAGCCAAGCTCAAACCAATTAGACACCACCCTTGTAGTTGAGAACAGTTTTTACTCTGACCAGCTACCAAATACATTTAAACACTTTATAAGAAATTAACCTGAATCACACGTTCAGACTTGGACCGACTATCTAAAATATCGAGTCCTTTTACCAACTTGACCACCATTTGAGGATTTTATTCGAAGTTAAAGTCATCAATATCAGATTCAGACCATGAGATGGGCTGCTTCATTGGGCAGGATTTTGAAATGGACCACCCTTTTTGGGCTTGTTTAGAATTAAATTTATGGGCTTGTTCAGCCCGTTTCATATTCATATAAAAATGTTCCATAATATAATATATAAAAATGTGAATAATACTTGTAAAATTTAAATGTAAAATCTATTTATACCATCCAAATTTGGTCCGTTTCGACCTCTCTCGAATGGGCGTTAAAATTTATACTATATTATAAAGTATTTGATAAAAAAAATTAAAAACTATTTTTTATGTGTAAAGTATTGTTTATTAATGCATATTACTTAAAACTCAAGATTGCAAGTAGATTGTGTGTAAGTACAATTTATTAAAGCTTCATATCTGAATTCGTGTAACTAAGTACAGATAAACATAATCAAATACAGGATAAACATTTCATTTTAAATAAAAAAAATCTAAAATATAATTAGGATAATTATTGAGTTCTAACAGAATATTTAATTATTATCTTTATAAAATGTTATGTTACTAAACCAAAAACAAATTATTTTGTTATTAAACTTAAATTAAATTATAATAAAAAAATAAATTAAAGAATTTACATAAAAATGAGAACTTTTAAATAGTTGATTTGATATTAACATTGATATATATTTTTTTTTCAAATTTTTATGATATCTTCAAATTTTATATTTATTCAAAAATAAAATCATTATTGTTTTCTTAAAAACACATAAAATCGTATTGTAACATCGACAGAGAGACAAATAATAAAATAGAACATTAAAATGAAGACGTGTCTCGCTGCATTTCGCCAGTACTCTTCTAGTTTCTGTTAAATGAACGCATTTTTGTTATTTTATTGAATTTTTCTGTCTTTTACCTGGTCAAAAATTGATTTTATAATTTTAGTCCCTGTAATTTTTGATTGGGAAAAAAACAAAAAAAAATCGATATAAGAACGAAATGTTGTTCCTTTAACAGAATTTTTAACAAACATTAGCGAAAGTAACTAGCCATCTTGTAATTTCAAAACTGCAGGAATGAAAAGTATTAGTTTTGACAAACCAGAAAGACCAAAATTGTAGTTTACTCTTTAGTTTATGCTATTTATTCAATTTCAAAAAATCCAACCAAATCTTTGGTTTTTCTGTAAAAGTAATTAAAATAGTAATTATGAGCTCAAAACTCGCCATTAGTAAGATATCAGTGTATGTTAATCAATAATCTATATTATATTATAAAGCATTTGAAAAAAAAAACTCTTGAAAACTATTTTGATGCATAAAGTACCGTTTATTGATTCATATTACTTAAATTCAAAATTACAAGTAAATTATGTATATGTACAACTTATTAAAGCTTCATGTTTGAATTCGTGTAACTAACTGCAAATAAACATAATCAAATACTAGATAAAAATCTCATTTTAAATATAAAAATTTGAAATATATTTAGGGTAATTATTGGATTATAACAAAATACTAATTATTATCTTTATAAAAAACTACATCATTAAATCAAAACTAAGCGACTTCATTATTAAATCTAAATCATAATACAAAATTGAATTGGAGAAATTACACAAAAAGAAATTAAAATTTTAATTTGATACTAAAATTGATATTTTATAAAAAAAAAAATTATACCTTTAAATTTATATTTTATTTAAAAAATAAAAAACATTATCGTTTTTTCAGTACCACATAAAATCGTATTATAACATCGACGGAGACAGAATAAAATGAAACATTAAAATCAAGGTGCATCTAGATTCATTGTACGAGTACCATTCTAGTAATACATAACATATGTAACAATATTTTATGTTAATTATTAATTAACTCATAACATAACCCATAAAACTCGTTCTTACAAATAGTAAACTTACTATCGAAGATTTAACAATCGGAACGTAATAACAATAAATTAAATCGTAACTTGATTATAGAATTTAGATCATTAAGTCAAGATGGTAGATATTTAAATAATGTAAACGTGAATTAATTCGCTCATTTATTGAAATAATAGTCAAATTACATTTAATATTATTGGTTGGCTTGGTGAGGGTGACGGCCATGCCGAAGCTCTCCTCCTTGTCCTTCCTTTTTTGCTTTTCAAAAAAAAATTACGTTTAATAATTAAACGTAAAACATTAATTTAATTCGTAACAAAAGATCATAAAAAGAGTACTAAAAATACGTACACCCAACCATTTATCAATTAAACAACTAATAAAAATTCCTTAAATAAATTAGTTTGTAATTTAAAATAATAAAATCTAACAAAAGCACAGATTCTTCAAACTTGGACTGATTAAATTATGAAACTCAAATAAGAGTAAAAAATAGAGGGGCCATGAGGTATCCAATTGGATTCTTGAAACTATGAGCCTAACGGCTTTTTATCAAATGCTTATTCGGGTAAGCGTTTATCAAGTTACGTTATCTCATCGGATGAATATGCTAAAAATCAAGAGTCTTACCCGGTAAGTGAGGACGACGACTCTTACCACAGTAAGTACTTATCGGGTAAATTGTTGCATGCGATGTCGTTTTGGTGGATGAAAATCTTACCCAATAAGTAAATAATAGTGTTAAATTTTATTGATAAACACTTACCGGGTAAGTATTTGGTAAACGACACCTAAGTATAAGGTTCTAGGTTGTTTTTTGATCGATTTTTTGTTTGCTAGACCTTCTTGTTGATACCATATGTAAGCGTATAAACGATATACTGGTATAAGAAACCAAATTTTTGCGTTTTAGGTTTCAATTTTAACCAAATACCGATTTTGACATTCAAATTTAAAATATATATTTTCATTTGCTACTATAAATGAATAAAATACTATCTCATCATCTTAGGAACTCAAAATCTATCAGACATGAAAAGAATACGAGATGAGCGAAATTCGAGAATGTGTACAGAAGTCAGAAAATACTGAAAAGTGTTTTATAGTTCACTGGCGAAATTAAGGTACAACTTAAACCTCGGGTTTATGTTCGGAAAATGGTTATGAGCACAAGGTGAGGTATAATTGTTTAGCTTTAAAATGAGAGAGAAAGAGAGTACTTAAAATCTATAGTTTACATTTATTATGACATTCTTGTAATAAATTAGAATAACACATATTATAGACATAAATGAACACTTACGAACAAAGGTATATTTGGAATAAATCATAAAGATTTTTGTGATGTCCCATGTTTTATGTTAGTAAACACATGCACTATATAGTCTAATTCACATATGAAAATGGTGGTTGGTTCACCTATGAACAAACATTAAGTTGTGCTTATGAACAATGTTCATGCGTTTACTTTTGAACATTGTTCACTTTTTTTTTTCAAAATAATTGGTAATCTATACATACGTAGTTTGCATTACGTGTATGTGATAATTTGTTGCATATATGAACTCGACACTTTTTTGAATGTTGAAACGAAATGGCTCACCTGTGGACAAGTGTTTACTTATTTATGTAATCGACAATTGATTTGAATAATTAATAAATGTAAGGGA